TGCAGGAGACTATGAAAGATTCAGGGCTTCATTTCATTTCAGCCTCTTGCTGGGAATTTGCCCTTCCACCCCTAACTATGCAGAATCCACTTTTTAACAAGATCCGCAGGTGGTTCTTAGCTTTTTATCCCACTGAGCTGGAATGAACCCATTTGGAGCCCTGCCTCTCAATATGCTGTACTCCGCCTGTTCATCCCTGTCCCCTCACTGGAACCAGGAGCATCCACTGAGTTCATTGCCTCTGTAGTTTTGCTTTTTACAAAATGTCATATTGTTGGAATCAGACAGTGACTGAGGATCCCAGGCAGCTCAGTGGTTAAGCACTCATCTGCGAACTAAAAGGTCAGTGGTTGGAACCCACCAGTGGCTCCACTGGAGAAATAGAGGACAGTGAATATCTGTTAAGATTATACAGACCCTTCAGAGACCTGACGGGCCCCTGTCCTGTGGGATCACTGTGAGTCAGAATCTACTAGACAGCAACAGGTTATAATTTTGCCTTTTCCTAGGTGTCATATAGTTGGAATCATGCATTGTATAGTGACATTTCAATGCTGGATTTCTTTTTCTCAATAATGTATTTAAGATTCTTAGTGTCTTTTTATGGCTAGTTCATGGCTCAGGATAGAGCCATGGTTCAGGGCTACCATTCCTAGCATCACTATGAATCGCAGTCGACTTGACGGCACACACCAACAGTATGCCTTTTTATTGCTGAATGATGTTGACTTTTTAATTTCAACATTCATTTCTTTCAGGCATCTGCTGTAAAAGATAAAAAAATTCCAGTAGGCTCTTAATATTTTCCTAGAAGTCGGCTGTATTTCATTGATCTTTTCTTCAAACTCATTTGATGTTTCAGGCTTGACATGTCTGTACTTCCCATTCACATTGTTATTTCTAAGTGTTTTTCAAATGTCCTAGTAAATAGCTAAAAAGAAAGGCTGAATTATTTAGTTTAGCTATACCTGGTGGCTTAGTGGCAAGAAACTGTGCCTCAATCCTGAAGGCACTGGAGTTGAGGCCACCAGCTGTTCTGAAGGACGGGCAATCTCCTCCCATGTGATTAACTGCCTCTGAAAACCTGTCAGAGGGTCAGCTATGGATCGACTCTGACTCAGCAGTACATAACATGGCATAACAATAGAACAGTATTTAATAAATGGGTTTCAGGTAGTCTAGTGGAAGAAGTTGTGCTGGGAAGCCAATTGTTGTT